TGTTCCCCAAAAAGTTGATGATGATCTTCCCATATACCTTTTTTCGGGGTTCAGAGGGTTTTCTAAGGAGGGACCACTTTCCCGCCAAACAACAAAAATAAGGGAGAAAAACTGGGGGTTTCATCGAAACCTACGGCCGCCAGAGCTGGGCCCCAAACAAGTCCCATTAAAAATTTTTCTGACCAACTTGGTAAAACATTCCCCCGGTTCATGAAACCTTCCACTTTAGATTTCCCCGGGGGTATGGGATGTTTTTTTGTGCTCTACATTCAAAACCTGTCAAAACCTCTCTCATGATGTGTTCACATTCTCCGGCCATTATCTGTTCCCAAATTGCACGGGGGCACCATACCGGGGAAGTTTTTCCTTATTATAAACCCCCCAAGTTCTGCCTTTTTTTGGTACTGCAAATTTCAGGCCAATTTGACCCAATACAAAAACCCCCATATAGTTGTTTCTGTGCTTTTTCCCCTATGGTCCTGAAAATCCATCCCATTTTTAAGGGGGAAGTTTACGCTTTTTCCCTCCGGGGGTATTTCCCCCTTTCTGCTCTCGACTGGCACCCCAAAATTTTCAAATAGTTAGTTTTTTCCCCGCAAGTTTCCCAATAGATTTCTTCCTAGATACATGTCCATAAATTAGGGACCCAACCCCCGGGGCACTGTTCCAATATTTTGGTCTTAAATTTTTACATAAATTTGGGGTTTGATTTTCACCCTTTTCCTGAGAAAAAAGTTTTCCTTATTATGGCATCCCTTTGGGGTTCCCCCCTTTTTATTCTCTCAGACAGTTTTTACTGTCTGCTTGCCCTTCAATTTCCCTTCTGTCCAGTAAGGATGTTATTATTCCCCCTTTTCCCATTCAATATAGGCGATTTTTTTTTTATTAGAGAAAACTATTCTATAGGCTTTTATCTACCCCTGTTCTACCCTTTACAGATCTTTCTTCCAGTTTTTTTGGATTCTGAGAGTAACTGCGGTTTTTCCCCTTTTCCTCCCAAAACTTATCTACAGTGGTAGCCCCCAAATTTATGCCCACTGTTAAATTTTTTCTTATTATTTTCCACTCTGCCTGCAATAGTATTTGGAGGTTTGTGGTCGCTTTTAGTGAAGACGCAATTTAAAAAAGTCCAGTTTTGGGAGAGTCATGATAGCATATTTCCCCTCTCTATTACTGGCCATTTTTTGGTCTCTGAGTTTTTTTGGGAGAGGAAGTATATCGGACCCGATCCTCACTGGTCCTTCCTTATCAGGACACGGTGGAAGACTCCCCCTACACACTGCCACTGGCATCCTTTAAAAATCAGGGCTTGTTGAGGTCGTAGCGCAGTGGAACGTTGGTAAATTTTCCTTTAGCAATCAAATGCTGGACAGTCCTCTGTCCATTGAACCCAGCTTTTTTCTGGGGCCCCCATATGGAAATTTTTAAAAATCCCGGGAGGGGGGTTTAGACCTATAGCCCTATAAATTTTTTACCGCCCCCTTTGTTTTGGGGCCGGGCATTTCTTATGCCCTTTTCCCTTATCCATGTCGGTTTAATACCCTCGTTTATGACGGTTTAAATACCAGTTTCTTCCTCAAAAACTGACACTTTGAAATTTCTTTTTAACTTTTTCTCAACCTTTCCCCAAACCTGTCAAAAATGAAAAATTTGTTCCACTGTTCCGAAAAACAAGATATCGCCAAATACCCCGGCAAAGCTCTACCCTCCTAACACTATTGACATTAGCTTTTGGGAACCCCCCGGGCAAGCAAACGAATGGATCACTTGAACTGAAACAGTCCCAGGTGACACGCGAAGCGCCCTTTTCCTTGTCAGCCCATCCAGGGTTGCCAAACCCGGGCCTCGTCCAACGAGAAGTACTTTCCCCCTAATAAGCCAAAAAAGTTCATCAATGGCAATGGCACCCCCAACGGCTTCGATATAGAATTCAGCTTAAAAAACTCACAGAAAGGTGACTTTTTACCCACTATTACATTGGGCCCAAAGGGGGATCGACTTCGACATCCCAGCTTCCAAAATTTTCATGCCCCTTTACAAGGGGGCTTTTTTGATAGGGGTTCGGGGTTTTAATTTCACAGGGGGGGGTCCCGTGTCATTTTTTTCACGGGGGCTGACCAGCTCTTTGTCTGATCCACCACATTCCTTTTGTTTTTAAAAGACCCCCACTTGGTTCAAATTATCCGGTGCTAAATATCCCCATCTAAATTCCTTTTTTTTTGTTATAGCTTCCTTTTTTCCCCCGAATCACCCCATTAGAGTCTGAGGGCCTCCCATCTTCTCCCCTCCAACCTTTTTGTCTTTTTTGGCCCGTTACCATCATTAAAGGGGACCAACTGGGTGCCTCCACACCGTTTTTGAAGGGGTTACCCCTTTCCCGCCCCTTCTTTTCAGGGCCCAAATGCAGAGGTCCTCCGACCTTTTTTTGACATTAGCCTACCCCTTTTCCCCGGGGCACTGCGGTCCAGGATAATTTTTTCCTCCACCATGGTTATTCTTTCCTGGGATCCCCCGGGGTTTTTTCGCCCCCACCAACACAGAGGATTAAACCCATTGGGTTTTTCCGGAGCCACCCTTTTTTCCCAAGATTGCCTCGTACAAGGTCGGGGTTACGAAAATTTTGGGGGCTTTTCCCCAACTCACGGGGGCCTCACCATCCCCTTTTTTTCCCAGGGGGGCATCTGTTGGGGACTCGTCCGCCCAACCTTTCTTTCCCCACCCGCCTGTTTCTTCATCAATGACAATGTCTTTCCACCAAAGCCCCCATCTCTACCACCTATCTCCTTTTCAGGATAGTTCTTTTCTGGGAAAAGAACACCTTTGGTTTCTTCTTTCCCGGGGCCCCCCCTTTAACCCAGCCATAGGCGCGGTATAATACTTCATTTTTTATGAGGTGGGGTTTGCCCCGCACTGGGACCCGGCCACCTCTCCCGTTCCCACGTTTCTAAAATAAGTTTTTTTCAGGGTCCTGGCCCCCTGCAAACTAACCTTTTTGCTGGAAGCTTTCCAAAATGGCCCCCGACCCAAGCCAAATTTGTTTTTTCCTTTTTAACTGGGTTTTTGGGTTTATCTCGGGGGGCCCCCTTTTTTTACGGGGGCCCCCCACTGGTCCAAGCTTTTTTTTTCCTTTTTAACTGGGGCCCCCCTCCTCTTAATTCTGGGGGGGCCCTTTTGGGTTTTCTGGGCCGGCCTTCCTTTGTTTTATGGGCACCTTTCAGCCGGACCACCTTTGGGCCCGGTGTCCTTTCTCCCCCCTGTCTGTGAAGTCTGGGGAACCCTGCGGACATTCCCGGCCCCGTGGTCCTGACACAGGTCCAGCAAAGCCCCTTCGACGGCTGGCGCCATGCCTGGTCGACCATGCCCCCTTTTATTTGGGGGGTCCTCCCCCAATTCTGGATCCACCCTTCCCAACCCCCTGATTCCAACGGGGTTCTTCCGCCCACCCCCCTTCCAGCCTCCCCGACTTGGGGTTTTGCTTTTTCCCCCAACCCTTTACCATCCCAACCCCCGGTTTCCCTGGCCAGCTCTATCCTGGAAGTCTGAGGGTCCTTCTTCAACGCGTCAACACGTCTCCCCATTATACAGGTCCCCAGTTTGGGCCCGATAACCCTTTTCCCCCGACCCCTTGGGAATGCAATGAAAGCTTCCGCCGGGGCCCCAATTCTCCCCGGGGTTTTTCCCGGTGGTTAGTTTTGGGGCCCCCATTCCCTTTGGCGATTTTGTCGAACCTTTTGGCAGCAGTTTTTTTTTTTTCCCCCAAGGGGGTATTTTCCAACCCCAACCCCCGTTTTTCCCTTTGTGGCATCGTATGCCAAACAGGGGGTTTTTGGGCCAAATGAATTCTGGGCCCCTCAGGTTGCCAGCCAGTTTTAAACTCCCCTTCCCATAAATAAAAGGGGCCCTCGGGCCACCCAACAGCTTTCCCCTTTGATCCACTGACCCCCTTCCCCCTTTTTTTTCACCCCCACTGCTCTATCGATCAAATGATGTCTACAAAAAAAAAGCAACAATGAGGTTAAAAAAAATCCACCCAACATTTTTTTTCCTTTTTTTTTTGGTCCCGGTCGTTTTTATTTTTGTTAACCCGCAACGGCGTCATCTGGTCTTCAGGGGGAATTCGGTCACCCCGGGACCAAGGATGGTTGTTCGGGTTGATCCGTTGGCACGGGGCCCATTTGGGACGGCCCTTTTGGGCCCCCCGGCCCCTGCGGGTCCTTTTTTTAGGGGAAAAGGGGCGTTGCCCTCCTGGTCGTCCTGGGGCCAAGCGGCCTCCCAACCCCTTTGGGCAGATGATCAAAACCCCTTTTCCCCACCGGGGTCCCAAAACCTTTTTAAAAAACTATACCGATCTCCGGTCTGTTCACCACGCCAGGTTGAGATCTTAGACAGACGGGACCAGCAGGATCGGGGCCGATACAAGTTGAGTTCGACGGGTGGCAAAACACAAATAAAATAAAACCCACGACACCAAACAAAATTGCTGATAAAAAGGTAACAACCTTTATATCTTAAAGTCCGTTAAAAAAAAACAAAATTGTTCTCAATTCCCTGACCCGCTCTGTGGACTAGGCACCGGTGCTTCTATCACACAATAGGAAGATTTGAATTGCTGCCTACTTTAGAAATTGTATGTCGGAGTGGTTTGGTTCGCGACACTGGGGCTAATTTCTATCGATCATTCGCAGTTGATTCTTCTCGACTTGAGTTGTATTTCTTCTTCTTCGTCGACTTAGGCTGGAAGTTCTCTTGTCTTCGACTTGGCTGGAAGGATCTTGCCGCAACTCAGCCGCAACTCTCCTCTGTCGTCCGAGGTGATTCTTTCGCTGCCGTCCGGGGCTGAACTCTGCCGTAACTCTGCCACAACTCTTGGCGCCTTCGGGCAATCTCCTTCTTCGTCTGCCTGGGCTGGTCTGTCTCTTGTCTTCTATCTTCGACTTGGAAGTAACTTCTTGCGGCTGAGCAATCTTCTTCTTCGACTTTGGCGCAACTTCCTGAGGCTTATGAGCAATCTTTCTTCTTCGATTTGGCCGCAACTTCTGCGGCTTTCGAGTAATCCTTCTTCGTCTGGTCAACTGGAAGTTCTCGTCTTCGGCTTGGGTGAAGGATTTCGTCTGAGGCCTTGCAACAAAGGGGGTGAGTTTGTCGCCTGATGCCCGCGTTCAGGATAATTCCCCTAGCCGCGGTCCAGCTGCAACTCTCAACTCCAACTGATTTCTGTCGACTTGGGTCCTACTTTTTATTGACGCCGCAGCAAACCGGGTGGGTCTTGTCGGCGTCTCTTCCGATATGCCAAAAGTCGTATTATTTTCTTCCATTATCGCTTTATTTTTCAATTCTTTCTCATAGTGCTTTGGTCCGGAGATCAGTAACCGTTTTCGACCAATGGTTCCTGATCGAGCATTTCTTTTTTTTTTCCGCAGCCACGTGACCGTTTTCGGCTAATGAGATTCTGGTTGGGCGTTCTCCCGTCTCCAATCAGGGGCAGGCTTATATCGTTCTTGTTCTAAAAACAAATCTAATTTTTTTTCGCACGTACGAAAATGATAATCTGGCTTTTTCTCACTCAGTTTTTAATAACACAGCCTGCCGCTAATTAGATGTGACTTCAGGAAGAATATTGGCGCTATTGTGAACTGGAGACAATCGTTTTTTTTCCCTTTGTTTTTCGGTCAGACCTGACAGTCAAAAATCTTAATTATCTACACGAAATTGTCTTCCACTTTATCAATGTGGGGGTTCAATTCTTTACCCGGTCAGAATCTTTATACAGTTCCACCGGTCACCCCTCAACCCAAAAGACACCTTTCCTCTGATTAAAAATTTCGTTCCCATTGTTCTAAAAAAAATTTCCCTTTCTCCCAATTGATGTAGGTCTTTCTGCGCAAAAGTCGTTATGTGCTTCGACCATTATTTTTTTTTATCAAGCGGCTCGTTTTGACATCATGTCCCTTCCTTCTCTAAATTATTCCCTTCTAAAGCTATTCTTCCAATTGTCTTTTTTCGGTCAACATCTAGCCAAGATACCTTCTGACTCCTACTCACCATACGTGTTTTGCATCATCCAACCCTTTTCTTTTTTCCCCTCTCTTCCTCTCTCTTTCTTTTTTTCTTTCTTTTCCTTTTCTTTTAGGATCGTCCAAGTACAACTTTTAGTGAATTATTTTCAAACTCAATTATTTTTCGTCTAAAAAAAAAAACAACCTGTTTAATAAACCGAGTAAAAAAAATTAAATCATATTTCTATGAATATTTCCTAATAATTTAAGGTGCCACATTATTTTTTATCAATGCTAGCAGGAAGTGGGGACATAAATCGGTGCGTAGATGTGTGTGTAAAAAGTGTGTGCGTTTACGTTTATATATTGACAGGATTTCCATTTTTTTCAACTGATTTCAACAAAACTTCCCAGGACCGATCAATCTCATCTGCAGTGTTCTAATTGGAAAATAAAAAAATATAACATGTTTTTAAAACCTTGATCAATTTGAAATACATTCTGTAATTTAGAGATATTTCAATATGAATGGGAAACTCACCTACGAAATGATGTCACATTTTGGGACTCGGCGTTTTTTTTCAGGAGAACATGCACATTTTTCCTTATTTGAAATTTAGAATACAAAACTTTCTCCCAACTTCAATATAAGTATCATTTAATTTTTTGGGAGACTGAAATTTTCCTTCCAAATTTAAAAATGTAAAAAAAATTATAAAAATCATAAATAAAAAAAATTAAAGAAATTACTAAATGAATAAGTCCGTTAGATCATAAATTAAACCCATCTAAACTGATACTTTTTTCTTGAAAACGAGGACAATATCTTTCATCCAGAATTTAATTAAAATTCTCAACACAAAATGTTCCCGGCTAAAATATTAATAACTAACTTCGGAAATTTTAAAAGATTTCAGAAAGGATATAAATCTAAGATTTGTTAAATCATAAATTGTAAAAAGTTTGTTTTTTACAGTCGCTATCTCTGTACCTTTATACATTGAAGGTCGATCACCAAACCAATAAAAATGAAATAAAGAAAATTTTTTGGACTAAAGAAAAATTACGAGGTGGAAAATATTTTTATAAAAATCAGAATTTCTCTAAATTCTGATTTGAAAACCTCTAGATTTAATTAATGGGGTGAAAAAATTTTTTTACTCTGGCAATTCTAAAAACAATGTTTCTTTTTGTGTGTGTTCGTTTATATCTGCATCGGGATTGTGATTTTTCAACTGATTTTAATCTAAACTAATGCTTTTTTGGCAGGTAGTTTTTTATTTTAAGCATATCACGCAAGGCTTTTATTTTACATTCAGAATGCTTTAAAATTCCATTTACAAGATAAAGAGAAGGACAAAAAATTCTATTCAATCGGTAGACTCATAACGATTGAAAAACAATAGTTTTAGAGTTTAAGGTTGACCAATTCGTAAAAAAAAAAAAAAAAAAAAAAAAACTAAACAGACATGCTGCCGGGAATCCTTAAACAATAAAAGCTTTGTCAATTTTATTTTTCAGTCTTTATGATGGCTGAGATACATATCTATCGTTTACTGTTATATCCCCTAAGAACAACGCTGTAAACTAAATTAGTTAATAATAAAAATTAATTGTCAGGAAATTATAGTAGCAATAAAACCAATGAGACAGCATCCGAACGCTAGAAAATTATAGACAAACAGTTGGGTAAAAACGTAAATACATCACTTTTTTTAATAAAATTTTGATACAAAAAGGAAATTTTTAGAAGAACATCGTTTATTAAAAATGCACTTTTCTGTTGCTTAAGATTCCAAAGGTTATTGTGTCTGTATGTTTGCGTATTTAAATGAAATGAATGTAATGGATACTAAATTGAAGAATTGGCCCAATTTAACTCAATGGAATTTAAAATTTACGAAATTTTCTGTTTCTAATCATTGCTTTTTCCTTTGGTGAAATGATATTTTTCAGTTGTATACAAGGCTGAACTTTAGAAATGCTATTGCAATTTTTTTTTCTTTTTGCTATCATAGATTTTGTTAAATTTTTAGATAAAAATGTAATTATCCTTGGCATTAATTTTCCTGTGTATGAACTGCATTTATATATAAGGATTACGACGAGAATCATCAGCATTCGATAAGGAAACGATATATACATAATTACTGTTATATGTAAGAAAATATCAATATATTCATGAAGAGGAAATATATGTATATATATAACTGTCCCTAATATTTATTTTATTAACCTCCTGTAAAGAGTCAATAGAGTCCATAAAAAAATCAGTTATATATATGCCTCAAAAAGCTATATATCAAAGTATATATATAGACCGAATATAAACAGTGGATGAAGTCTCACGGCACTGTTAATATATATATATATGTACGTTCGTCTTTAAAAAGATATATAATATATTTTTGAACTTATATATATATTGATGAATATATTTACCGTCTCAAAACGAAACTATATATATATTACTCACCACAGAGAACCATCCCTGTGTCCCATTAGAATGTTTGACGCTATATATATGAGAGCTCGCCTCATATTGACTGTGTGACCTGAGATATAACAAAAAATACATTAAGTCAATAGCTTGGTCCACCTGCAAGGAATGTTGGCTCCCTCTGCCGCGCCAAGAAATTATCCTCGCCAGAGTCGATCCTTCAAATCTAAAAATCAACCATTCGTCCTTGTATGGAGTATTGCTGCCATATAGGGTCTGGTGCCCCTTATGTTTGTCTCAAATTTCTTGAAAGATTCAGAGACGGATATGCAACATAATTGACCTGGAGCTGGCATCGCGTCTGCAGTCGCTCTCTCAAAGACGTGTCATTGCCTCAATCTGTCTTTTTACTTTCATGGTAACTTCTCCGAGGAGCTGCTCTCTCTAGTTCCCAGACTTCATGAATTTAAACGTTCTACTATTTTGGCATCTCGCTCACACCATTCCACTATAGAAACTGTTAAATGTAGCCATCTCTTCTACACCAATAGTTTCATGTCTTGCACCTCTCGCCTGTGAAAATCACTCACCGTTTCCTGTTTTCCTGAGAGCTATTGTCTCAAACTATTTAAATGTAATGTCAATCGACTTTCCAGATGCCTTGATTCATCACCAATCATTCTCTTCATCCTTTCCTCTATTAATGCATATTTGTTCTCACCCAATTAATCTTATGTTTATTGCGTGTCCTAGTGGCTTCCCCGCCTTGTTGGGTGAATGATTATATATATATATATATATATATATATATATAGATATATATATATATATAGATATATATATAGATAATGGAGGTACAAAGTAGAGGGTAGATGTATATGTAGATGTGTTTATATGTATGTATATTTTGGTATGTATACCTCATATATCTGTATATGTGTATATGCTGTATAAATGTATTTATGTATGTTAGACGGATAGATATAGGGATACATTGTTTATTTTGTTTAGATGGATGTAATTGTATGAGATGTAAGGTTTTATGTGTATATATGTTTATGTATATGTATGTATATATCCATATGTATATATGTATGTAATGTGTATATATATGTATGTGCACATATGTATATATATATATATGTATATATGTGTATATGTATGTATGTATGTGTAGATATATATATATATATATATATATATGTATGTGCACATATGTATATATATATGTGTGTGTATGTATGTGTATATTTGTGTATGTGTGTATATATGTATATATACATATGTATGCCTATGTATATATATGTATGTATGTATGTTTTATATGTATGCATTTGTATGAATGTGTTGTATTTATGTATATATATATATGTATGTGTTATAGATATGTATATATATATATATATATATATATGTATATATATATGTGTATATGTGTTTATATATGTGTATATATGTATATATGTATATGTGTATATATATATATATATGTGTATATATATTTATATATATATATATACAAAAAATTATATGTATGTGTATATATATGTATGTGTATGTATTTAATTATGTATGTACATGGTTATGTTGTATATGTATGTGTATGTGTATGTGTATATATGGAAACTATGGGTATGTCATTTATGTATACATGAGCTTTATATGTGTGTATATGTTTATATTTATATATATATGTATTTATATGTGCCTACATGGAGTATGTGTACATATATGTATATATTTTATGGTATATATGTGTATATTTGTACATATATATGTACATACATACATATATATACATATATATGAATATATATGTTTATGTATTTATTTGTATGTAACAATGAAGAGATATGTATGTGTGTATATATATATACTAAAATAAAATGTATGTAAAGAATACATTTTTTTATGTATATGTATTTATGTCTTAATGTGTATTTATATTTTTTTATTTTATATTTTTATTTATTTTTATGTATATATATATATATTATATATATATATATTGTTTATATATATTATATATATATATATGTGTTGTAAGTATATTTTATAAGCATTCTGAATATAAAAATAAATATATAAAAATATATATAGATATATATATATTTATGCCAATATATTTGTGTATAAATATTGATATGTATGTTTATGTATATGATATGACATATATAAATATTTTGTATATACATACACATTTTATATTTATGTGCATATATTTTTTTTTGTAAATATATTATGTTTATATAATTTTTATGTCCATATATGTATCATATTTATGTATATATATTTATATCATGTCTTGTGCAATATGTATTTTTGTTGTATCCGATTTATGTTTTTTTATGTGTATGTATATTTATAATTGTATGTGTATACTATGTCCTGTGTATGTAGTGTATGTATGTGTATATTTATTGATGTGTGATGTATATATATAAATGTTATATATGCATATGTATGTATATATGTATGTGTATATTTATGTATATATATATATATGTATATATATATTGTTATAATCCACATATATATATATATGTGTGTGTTTTTATATATGTATTCCCACACTATATACATTTATGTATATGTTGTATATATATGCATGTTTATTTATATATGTATGTGAATTATCTATATATATATATATACATGTGTGGATATATCATATATATGTGTGTATATATATATATCTATATATATGTTGTGCCATATAAATATGCTTGTGTATGTGTGTATATGTATGTATGTTTGTAATTATATGTCAATGGATATTTGTGTATATTTATATCCCACTGTATTATGTGTGCATATGTGTGTGTGTGTATATATATGTATATATTTTGTGTTCACATATGTGTGTATACATGTGTGTATATATTCATGTCTATATATATATATGTACATACATACATGTGTGTGTCTATACATTTATATATTTGTTTATATTGATATAGTTATATGTGTGTATATATGGACCTATTTTGTCAGTGTTTATATCCCATATTTATGTGTGCATATATATATATATATGTAATTACATACTCCTTATATATATATATATATTTATTTATGCATATATTTGTGTATGTGTGTATATGTATCTGAATATATATATATTTTTTTATATATATGTGTGTATATATATATACATATATATATATATATATATATATATATATATATTTATCCCACTTTATACATATATTCAGATGTGTGTTGTATATATATATATATAATATATATATATATATATATAATATAAATATATTCAGAATAATCCAATCATAAAATGTAAACGAAACCTACATCACTAAACATATTACTGACCAGTGCATTTGTGCAGAATACAATAAATTACATTTAGGAAAAAATGCTACTGACCACTCTTAGGGCTAGGCAGCTATTTCTTTGTGGTCCATTCTTAATTCCTTGCATAAATTGATTTTAGCAATCATCTCGATTCTTACCCTAACCCGACATACATCCCCCCACCCAGCTTGATGTTCAATCTTTTGTCATTGGTACAAAATGTAGGCATCTACCCGTGGTGAGAAAAATATTTAAAACTTTTTGAAAAGCGAATCGAAACCGATTCAATTAAAAAACCTTTTTACAAAGGAAAGTAACAAATTATTTTTCTAAGACAAAAACACTGAAAATCCAAATGTATGTAACACAGTTTTAATTCTTCTCTACACCCGCTTACATATACACACATATATATACATATGTATACATTTACTCATTTATATATGCACACATATGTACATGTATATATATATATATATACACTCACATATATGTAGATATATATGATAGCTGGCCACTCGTATTCGTGGAGACTCGTCTACTTGGTCGGCTACCCAATCCTTATTGCTGACGCTCGTTGAGGTCGATCTTTGTTTGCTCAATAGCCTCAGAGTCTCCCTTTGTTTTATGCTGCTACTATGCTGAGCAGACCTTAGTTACAGTTTCTTTAATTAATTTTATTTCTTTCGTTTAATTAATCCTTTTCTTTTAGATTTTTAGATGTTCCACTGTATCTATAATTCATTGATAATTCCTGGCATTAGATAATCATTTTTTGCTCAATATCTTTTCACCTTAAGAATTTGATATAACAGTTAAATGGAACTAACTCTCAGAAGCAAAAAACGGTGACTACAAAGCCTATTTGAAGCGAGACAATCACTTAATAGACAAAGATATCTGAGTGCTTCACATGAAAGACCTGAACAAATAAGACTGCAAATTAACAAAGGTATGAGTAAATAAATTGATTGATTAAACTTTTCATTTTGCTCTCGAAATAATTTTGTCTAAATGCATATAAATATTTTGTTTGTATAGACTATTAAAATGGTTAAGTGAACTAATCACTTATAACTTTACTAACTTAAGTTGATTTATATCCTTTCCCACTACAGATGGGACAGGATATATGTAAATAAATACACATTGATAATTATTATATAGTTTAATGTTTCTTCAAATTACACAAATATCTTTGTCTTTATGAAGCTTAATTTATGCTTGATGTGTTTCCGTCAATGCCAGATATATATGGGGTCTCCAGGGAGTCTTCGGTTGTTTCCAGTTCCTTGGCTTGCTGTTTTTACCAGAATCCCCACGATGGTTAATAAAAAAATCACGAAAGAAAGAAGCAAAACAATCACTGATCAGAATCCGAAATAGCGAAACTGTCGAAGAAGAAATATGGGAGATTGAAAATATTTTCAAACATGCGCCGTCACCAATTAAAAATTCAGGTAAATTAATAAACATTATATTAAAAATTTTTGTTTAAATAAGTGTTGGCAACTCAATAATTGTTGTTTAAATATAAAATCTTGTGTTGGTTGATTTAGCCATTGGGATATATTTTTACGAGATAGTAAAGTATCTGCTTTTATTGTCTACGTTGCCATTTAGGAACTGTCTTGAATCAATGTTCGATTCGATTTTACTGCCAGAGTAGGAAGTGAAATAAATTTCTCGCGTTGTATCTCAGCAGTTGTTGTGGAAGACACTGGATTAATGTAACATATCTTCTCGGCTTTTCCAGGAACAAAGAATATCGTTGCTAAATATTAGGGTTTAAAGCGATTAAAACCACTGCAAGTAATCCGAGGAGCGTTTAATTATTCCTCGTGCTGAGTTAACTTTCTTTCTTCGTCTCCAATTAGTATGCAATACGCTTGGCCGGTTATGTGAAGCCCACTTTGTACAGGAAATGGTTTTGGGGCCGATGCTGGAAAAAGAAGATGCTTTCCTGACGCATGGGTAAACTTAGCCTCTTACAGTATGATATGTTGGACTTGCGAGTAAAGAAAGATTTGTTACATCCACTAGCTTTCCTTTTCAGGATAGGAGAGAATGCATGGAATATATTTCTACACTTGGTTAGCATATTCTGTTTTTTTAAGAAATCAAATCTTCATTTACGTTCAACCGATTTCTGCCGAGGTGTCTTTATTTGAAGTGTTTGGGTAAATATCTGTGCTTACGGCAATTAATATTAAGGCTACCCGCACTAATTTAGTAAGCCCGACAACTACTTCAAATTATTATTACTACTACTTGAGAAAATAGCACACCGAAAAAGCGACGCTGGGGTCCACATATACGAAACCCAATATTTCCATCATGCCAGTCAGTCATATAAGGGCACATGCATCACAGCCAAATGTGTGTCATATCGTGACAGGCTTTGGTAAAAGCAAGGCATAACCTTACAGGTAAGGAGTAGTTAGAAATACCTTCTGGTCGGGTAACCAGGTCAACTCAGACAGTCCCTGATTGAATGTGTTCCGAAGTATGTAACTCTGACTCCCAAGTCACCTTGGCTGCCTTATCTTTGAAATGAAAAAATGAACACTCAACACTCGGCCATGACGCTCCCTCACTACTCCCACATGAACAGAGATGCCCAGTAGGTCATGCCCAACTGGTTATGGTTACATAACTAACATTATTATTAATTGCTACCATCATATGATGGTTATAATACTGGGAATATACAGTCAACAACGAAATTATTCGTACACCCAATCAGTTTTGAATATTTTTATCCATTTCTCATAATCTAATGCCCGGATGATGCCAGGTTTTTTATATGTTAATAAACACAAAAAAGAATAATAAAACTCAATTTTCAAAACAATAGGTTAAATACAAAAAATTTGACAGGCGAATTATGCAAAATAGGAAAAGACAAAATTATTCGTACAGTAGAAAATATCGTTTTAAATTGATTGATTCGTGTAATTTACATAATTATTTTATCAGTGAAGCTTTCTAGACTATTTATTCAGTAGAATATTTGCAATAATTCCAGCAAAGAACATCACGTGGTGCATAGAGTGTCACCATTGTTATTCTTACGTTAACAACACGATAGGGAAGACAAAGGAGCTTAGCTTTTGACTTCAGACAGAGAATTATTGACTTCCACAAGTCAAGAAATAGTTACAGCACTATTTCAAACCAGTTATCTATCCCTAGATTTAAGGTATAGTCCGATATAAAGAAGTTTTAAAAGTTTGATACGACAGAGAATTTTCCTGAACGTGTAAGAAAACCCAAATTGTCACCAAGAACTGAACGAAAACTGTGTCGTGAGGTTAATATAAACCTAAGAGTTATTTTTTAAAAACATCGCTAAAAGTTTGGATACGATGAGTATCAGCGTAAGTAGTTGCATAATAAAACGCTGTTTAAATAGAAATAGGTTGTATGGAAATTGACCATGACGAAACCTCTTCACAAAACATGTCACATTGTTGTTCGGTTTAATTTTGTGAAAATGTTCTTGAACAAAGAAAATTGCTTTTGGGAACAAGTACTATGGAGGAATGAAACAAAAATTGAACTATTTGGACATAATGATGTACAGATGATTTGGTGCAAGAAAAATGAAGCTTTCCCCCCAAAGAACACAGTGGCAACATTAAAACATGGACGCAGTTCGATGATGTTTTTGGGGTTGTTTTAGCTCAATCGGGGACTGCAATAAGGGAATAATGAAATCTGCAAACTATATCAAAATTCTGGATTAAAATCTACAACTGTCAGCGCAAAATCTTCATCTAGGCCGGCGATTTACTTTCCAGCAAGATAATGACCCCAAACATACGTCGAAATCAGTGACTGCGTGGTTTCAGAAAAAGATTACAGTTCTATCATGGCCTTCAATAAGTTCTGACTTGAATCCTATTGAAAGTCTATGACAAGAATTGAAAATTCAAATAAATCGTCGGCCAGCAAAAAAACCTCCAGGAATTACAACGTGTAACCATTGAAAATCCCAGAAAAGACATGTTCAAAGATCACCAAAAACTTTATAAAACGATTGCAATAAGCTATAAAGATGAGAAGTCATGCTATTGACTACTAATATTCTGAAAATTGTTAATTTTTTTTTCTATTTTTCCTACTGTACGAATATTTTTGTTTTTTCCTATTTTGCATAATTCGCCTGTCAATTTTTTTGTATTTAATTTATTTTTCTGAAAATTGAGTTTTATATTCCTTTTTGTGCCTATTAACATATAAAAACCTGGCATCATACGGGCATTAGATTCTGAGAAATGAATAAAAATATTCAAAACTGATTGGTGTACGAATAATTTCGTCGTTGACTTTATTTTGACCATTAAAAATAATATTAGGGTTGTCATGTTTTATTTATCCATACGTCAGTTGTCCCATTAGATGATTGTAAATTTAAGCGGTATTTCATCACACATATGTATCAGGAAATCTTCAACATAACGTGGTGTTTTGTGCATTACACTGATACTTTTTTCTAACTCCTTTTATACATGGTGCATAAAAATACTTTTTCAAATGTCCGCAAATCCTTCGTTTTTGTGTTATTAATTTTAAAGAAATTTTACGGTAGATGGCGCTGTGTTGTCCTGTAGACTATGTTACATTTGTCATTCGTGTACATTTGTGACTAGTCTGTCTTCAATGTTTAACGTCCGTATTAGTGAGTTAACAATGGCCGGATATTCATATCACGAGCAGGCAAATATGATTTTTACAAACGGCCGTATGTTTATTAAAGATTTCTGATAATCATCGCCAGAATCCAAGTGAAAGAATATCTCTAAGCCCCAGACTTGCAAATCTAGTCTCTTTTGCGAATTGCTGTTCCATATCTTTTTTTATGTTTTTTTTCACATAATTCCGAATCCTTCAATAATTAGAGTCACAACTGTCACTCAATCTCTAATGTTCTTGTGTAAATTCTTGCGATTTATGGTGAAGATCAATATTGTTGTTGGTGTTGCTTTTATTTATTTTATAACCCTAATGATTGCTGTTCTATCTTTTACCAGTCGTGACAGTTTCTTATGAGAATCTAATTCGTATTTACTTAGGAATACCAAATAATGCTATCAGTTCGTAACCTTTAGTTAGACATCCCAAAGCGAAGCTTGCTAAAGAGATGACAAAATCCTGGCTAACTCTCCAAGCAAACAAGTGATGATTGTATAATTATTGTCGTTGTTTTTACATTCATTCTAATAACTGATAGTCAATAAGTAAACAAGTTTCCCCCTGAGCTCGTGGAACAAATATATATAATCCATTGCTAAAGATGCTAGAAACATTTTCGGATCATTTTACTGTTCGAAGAATTAACTGACTCCTTCTGCCATGCAATTTACACAGCTTTTTTGATCATAAAAACTCGCACTATACTAGAGTATATACGGTAGACCAAAAGTGGAATATTGCTGCCATATTTATGCTCGAGCTACTCAGTCTTTAATTTAAAGTTTTCAAAATCGTTCACACGATCTTGTAGAGGGGGGCGACTTATTTCCCACATTACAACCTCTTTCTCCACAGATATAAAGTCGCAAGCTTATCGCTAACACTATCCTTATTTCCATGGCAGATGCACCCCACTCTTTAGTTCCACCAGTTCAAACCTTGGAGCCGCCACGCTTTTATATTTCCTCCGTCGTCCATTTTTTAAGGAGAAAGTTCCAGTCGGACAGTTTTTCCCGTGAACTGCTACTTTGTTGAAAAAATGCCTGCGTGGAAGCTTCCTTGAACACTACAAACTACACTACAAATCGCTGTCTATCCTCCTTATCCCCATAACCTTCACTTCTTTCTGTCTCCATTTACGTTCACGCATCTCATTCAGTAACGCTCTACTACGAGTGGCTCTTGAGCATTGAACTAAGTGAACTTTAGTATAAAGAAAATCATGGCAGATTATTAATATTCATGGCACATTTGCACGAAGCCACGATTTAGAATTATTCAGTGAAGAACTAAACTCGCTATCATTAGCTACACTTTTTAGCTACAGATCTTCGATGCATATAATTACGCTTGACTTGGAACAACGAATCAAAAAACAGTTGTTTGTGGTTAAATCCTGATGATGCCAAGTAAGTTTAGTATTTACTTTTATTTATTGCGGTTGAATAACCTAGTAATTTTTTTATTTTAATGTAATCATTAATGGATCTGTGGATAGTACGATGTCTTTTGAGAATACGTTTCACATACAATAAGTATTTTTTAAAATGGATATTTTTAATCCCGTATTCTTTCTACTTACAATAAACATAGTTGGTTCACTGTGTCATGCCAGCCAAGGTTTCAGCCAGAATCCGTTTTGAACGTCTGTAAATCTACCATTCAACGGTGAATTGAATATTGCTTGAATTTAATATTGCAAGATATTGCTGTTCAGATTAGTCTTCTTGAACATTCAGAAAAATAGGAATTTTCTATAAAACAATATTAATTCGAAATACGTAATCCGGACACCGATTCATCACTAAGGGAATAACAAAACACGATTGAATTTCGTTAATAAACATAAGATGAGACGATGAAACCAATTTTTCGCTTGTTAAGACCAGATTATTTCGTTTCAAAGGAAACAATGTGAATATGCTCTGGAGCTCCTGCTACATATCTCTAGATTCATGACAAAAATCCAAAGAAGAATGTTGTCGCTTTTTACCTGGCATATTGGTTTCAGTTAATTTCCCACTGCCGTAACGTATCTTCCCCTGCCCCCCACCTCTCTCTCTCTCTCTTTTCTATCAATATTTTCATAGCTATTGTTCTGACCAGCTTTCATCCTTTGTAATCCTACGACATGAATTTAAACGTAGTATTTGATTGACAACGAGCTATCATTGTTTTAGTGTTGAAATGGTTAGGTGCGACCGTAAGTTCTATTCTAATAGACTCTTTTCTCGTAATTCTCGCCTATGGAACATTCATCAGGTTTCATGCTTCCTCTTTCTTATGTGCCGTGTCCCTTCAGGACGTAGGCGATCATGGCTCTCCACTTCTCTCTATCCCTTGTAACTTTCAATAAGTTTTGCCACTTTGCTATTTTTTCCAGACCGTTTTTTCCTCCACTTGCTTAAGCTCGCTAGGTATGTTACGCGTTGCTTTCTCTTACCTATCTTACCCTCTATTCCCCCTGTGAGTATCTGATTCTCCAAGTCCCCCTTTCTTAGAAATTTCAGCTGCCTCTTCCTGATGTTAAGTATACGCTTCCTCCTTGTTTGTATCCTCTCCAAAACATCATCGTTGCTCACACACTCGGTCCATGATATCCTTAGTATCCTTCTGTAGAACCATTGCATCGAGTCTCTTCATCATCTTTGAGGAAACCGTCGGTAGAAGAAGACAGATATCACATAATAGTTCAGTACTCTTTTCTTTGTTATCAACAAAATCATCCTGCCTCATAATACTCTGCCTAGCTTTTGGAATGCGTCTTTGACCATTCCAATACGTCTTCGGATCTTAGCATCACACTCACTTGTGTCAGAATACTTCCCAGATATTTAAATTTTCGCACCTGCTTGATTTTAGTGTCCCCAACCTGAAATCGCATTTCAAGCTCATCTTTATTGCTGATGATCATGCATTCCGTCTTCTTGTATTTTATGCTTAGTCCCTTCTTCTCAATCTCCTTTGCTACCATCTATATGAGGTTTTGTAATTTCCTTTCTGTGTCTGCTATCAGCACTGTGTCATCTGCATATCTTATGTTGTTAAGATTGTGGCCACCAATAATGAATCCTGGTAGGATTTTCAGTTCCCTCAGAATTGCCTCGCTGTATGGGTTAAATAAGTCCGATGAAAGGGCAAATCCTTGCCTTACGCCCGTTTCTATTTTTGTATATCTACTGAACTCATTCACTATCCGCATGCAGGCTGTTTGCTGTTCTTGATTATTCTAATATTTTTCCCAAATATATCAAGATTGCTGAGCAGTTTCAACAGATCTTTGTGGTGTACTTCGTTGAACGCCTTTGCGTAGTTTATAAAACACTGGCGCAAATTCTTCTGCATTTGTATTGCTCTTTCTGATAACATTCTGAGCATGAATATCGCGTTCCTTGTTCCGGTGTCTTTAACGAACCCGCACTGTTCTTGTCCTATCTTTGGCCTGATTCTGTTGCGTGCTGTATTCATCAGAATACGGATGATAAGTTTTGTTATGTGCCTCATTAGGCTGATTGTTCGGTGGAGTTCACATTCATTTGTGCCTGTTTTTTTAGGCAGAGTTATGAAAATAGATCTGCTGAGATCTTCCAGTATATCCCCATTGTTGTAGATTTCATTTATTATTTCTGTAATCTTGTCTATGCCAAAAGTCATCTAAGGCTGTCAGCATTTCCGTTACAATTCCGTTTCTATTCAATTTTGCCAGTGCAGCGTCTACTTCAGTTTTTAGAATTTCAGGCCTGTCGGTAGTTCTGTGTATTGTCGGTTGTTCTCTTTCGTCGTGGAAGAGTTCTTCAATATATTCGCTGCAACGCTGAAGAATTTTTTCCTTCTCTAATATGAGCGTTCCATCCTTTAATTTTATGCAACCTGTTGACGAGCGCATCTTCTGTCCAGTTAGTTCGCTTCTACGATCTTCAAAAACTGTTAATGCACTGTCAGTCGATGACGACTGACAGTGCATTTACATCTTCCTGAACCTTGTTCTTTTAGTGTTCTTTCTCCTCGCTAACGTCTTTCTCGCTTTCTTTCACCCCTTGCGTCTTAGTGGCACTATCGCTTTGCTTGGGGTGAAACGATTAAAAACAAAACAAAAAAAAAAAAATATCAACCGGCCTAGATCGAAAAGTAGAACTTCACGATCTTGGCCGGTTGATATTAATTTAACTGTTTAAGAAAAAAACAAAAAAAAAACAGGGATGTCAAATCAAACTCACGAAAAATTAAGAAATACGATAAGTATGCACAGAGAATAAAGGGTTGCAGCAACGCACGTCAGAAAAAGAGAGGTAGTTAGGTAAACCGGAAGTGAGAGACACGAATGAACACAAAAAGAAACATGGACCGGAAGTAGGGGTGTACTTATCAATATCGGAACTATATAAAGTATCAATATAAATAAATAAATACTTTTATATAAATATCTTTTATTTCTTTTTTATGATTCTTTTCAGGTGCAGGCAATTTGCTCCTGATGATGTTTAAAAGTCGATCTGTAAGAAGGGCTCTGATGGTAGGCTGTGGAATACAGTTATTTGCTGAGTTCTCTGGTGTGAATACAATTATGTGAGAAACGATTAACTTATTTTACATGAAATTAGATTTAAAAACAATCATTTCCTTTATGTACGTCTGGTATGTTAGCTTCATTTGTGTGATTGTTTGAATCGCAATAAAAAACAAAACAGTCTGTGATTTTTTATCTTCTGATAAATAACAACTTACCGTGGATACCTACTTCCTTCCGTGTCGCCATTGTGTTATTCCCACCGAGAAATTACTGACAGGTAATCTACATATGCATGTCTGTAATTCGGTTTTTCTAAGAGCTACGATTTCTTTTTTACTATGTGATTGACTGACTTGAATTAATATCTGGCCCGTCGCTGGAGTGTTTTGCGTAAGTGGTGAGCTTAAAGAATTAGTTCCCATTATTTTCATGGCAGGAGTGATTTTCTCTGGGGCATATGAGCCTGTGTAAGGTTCAAATTCCACCTGTTGCTGTCAGCTTTGGGAATTGGACAACTCGATGGAACGGAAAAGAAATTGTTAATAATGGATAAAGAAAACTAGAGTAGAGAAAACTAAAAGTAAACCAGGTGAAAGGATATATATATATATATATATATATATATATATATATATAATGGCTGGTGGTTAGTCAATCCCTGTTGCAAGCGCATGTTTAGGCACACACAGTGCCCACCGGTGGTTTATATTGCAATTACGCTGAGCGGACTTTATTTACATTTTTTTCTGGAAGAGAACGCATTATCTAGCGTGATCAACAGACTGAACAAGGCCGGTGAGTTCAACCTCTCGATCACGATGACTTCTAAATTTGTGCTAGTACGACAGCTCCCAATAAGTTCCATCTACCCAATTTCACTCACAATGCTTGAGTCAACCTTTTGTATGGTTTCCAAGCACGTTTCAAAGGTACCGCTCGCTGTGATGGCCTTCCCAGGCTGATAACATTAAGAAGTCACCTACCTGACAAATCAACTCTGTTATGATTCGAACCCGGGTCTCATGCTCGAATAGCGAACGTTCCAATCTTAGTATAAGTGCGCATACGCACGCCCACACAATGAAATAAAAAAATACACCAATAAAAAGTGTATGAATTATTACTTTTTAACTTAATATAAAAATAATGAAAACGAGAAAATTAGCAGTCAATTGCTGGTATCTCCTGGTGAGTGGACAGAGCGATTACTAAACACTGAAGTCGGGGTGCTGAATATAACATCAATCACCTAAGTGACAAATTTCATATTTGTATTAATCCAATATATATATATATATATATATATATATATATATATATATATATATATATATACACACACATGCTTGCTGGCTGAATGCCAAGAGACAAACAGTCATAAAAAGGCAGGTGGGAATAGAAAAGTGGAAATATACAGTACATTAAAATTCTTCATAGAGACAGAGTAAAAGAAAGATAAACGAAAGGATGCAGTCTACAAACTGTACATTCCTTATTACTTTTTTGCATATAACAACGACGAAAAGCGACCATAGATAGAAACTTACTTTTGATCACACCATCCCAAATATGGCGACTCAACTTAATATTTAGTCTTCGTGTATAAAACGCACGTCTAGCAATTAAGCTTAATATCTGGGGGGAAAAATAAACGCCTTGATTATAATAAAGAATTTTGGTAATCTTACTTATTATAACACGCAGATTGTGTGTGTCTGTAATGTTTATATATTGGATCGGATTTCTTACATTTTTTAACCGATTTCAACAAAGCTTCACAGAACTACATAAAATTACCTTGTGGTGGTTCTAACAGCGCCAAAAATGGGAAAAATACAATTGTTTTTGCACAAAATCAATTTGAAAACCCGATTAAGAGACATCGTGTGAATGAAAGGGGGACAACTCACATCGGGTTGTTTGTGTGTGTGGGTTCCTTTAAATATGGGATCGGATTTCCTACATTTTTCAGCCGATAAAACAAAAATTCACTTTTTTCTTTTGGCAGGTAGTGTTTCTTATTCTCTTGCACACTTTTTTTTTTTTTATTTTAACATTCAGAATGCTTTAAAATTCCATTTACAAGACAATTATTTATAATAAAATTCTATTCAATCGGGAGACTCATAACGATTGAAAACAATGTTTTTGTTTGAGTTTGGGTTTGACCAATTCGTAAAAAAAAAAAAAAAAAAAAAAATAATTAAGACATGCGTGTCCGTCAACCTTAAACAATAATCCTTGTCAATTTTATTTTTCAGTCTTTATGATGGTGGATACTTGATCTATCTCTTACTGTTATATCCCCGGGCAACGCCGGGCTCAACTGCTAGTATATCATAGATCATTGTGTTGATTTCAATCCATTAGTAGGAATGATTTCCCTTGTGGTATGTTTATAGATAAAAACGTCCGTGAAAATTTCACAATCTCCTAAGTCTATTATTCTTTGTGTTTTAGTTTTACTAATGAAAATATTTTTAAATTTGTTGGGTGGGGAAATCATTAAACAATCAGCCAATAAGTATCAATAATTATCTACTTGACATTGACTAAGAGCGGATAAAACCCACTTTTATGTTTAAAGTTCTTTAAGTTTATAATGTCATAAATAACATTTATTTATTTTCCAAAATCTAGCTACTACAGTGGCATTATCATCCAAATGTCTGGCGTTGGTGATATGACTACCGTCATTTGGAACACTGTAATTATTAACTTCATTAACCTGACGTTTGCAATTGTCGGCGTGTGGCTGGTCGACCGTGTCGGTAGAAGGACATTGGCAATTGTTGGACTTTTAGGTAAGTATTTTTCTCACTTTTCTTTCATTTCTGTTTTTCTTTATCAGCTCCTATGTTACAGAAAAAAAAAACTTGTATTATTTCCAATTTCTGTTCGGTTATTCGGATACTGGCTCGGAGAAAAAGAGTTTTAATTTAAATGCATAATAGATACAGTATCTACACTGAACAATTAGGAAATATTTATGAATTTGATATATTTCGTTATTCATTCAGCTTCATCAGACATTTTGTAAATGGAAGGATTCAGAGATACATTTGAGTTTTTTTTTTAATTCTAATTCCAAGGTGTTCATCAAAGTTTGGCATGCTGGACCTCTCTACAAGCTGAAGGGATTTGGTGATTTTGTACGAATATTTAACTTAATCCAATCGTTCTTAACAAATCGTGTAATGGAAATCGTGTTGAACGAATACGCTACTACATCATTTCACATTGATGCAGCTTAACCCCCCCTCCCACCAGGACTTTATCCTTGGAACGATGTTGTTTCTTATCTTCACCAACGATCTTCCTAATGTAATCAATTCCCAACTAGGTGTATATACTGTTGACACAACTATTTATTCCTGTTTTAGTAGTGATCCCGACAGGTCTGACAAAGTAAAACTCTTGAAAATGACCTTCAATCAACAGTTAATTGGGACAATTGAGAAAGGCTTGTAAGTTTTAAAACCTCCCAGCCAAAATGCTATCATTTAATCATCATAGAAAACATTTTCTGCCTTTCATCAATATGGCTGATGTTAAGCACCCGGAGAACAACTCTTTGCGCTTTCTTGGGTTCACATTTTTCAGTGACATGAAGTGAAGTGATTATATTGAATCAATTGTTACGTCTGCTGCTAAAAAAAGTTGGTTTATCGTATCGTGCTAGACAATATTTCTCGTCAGAATCCATCTTGTACATTTATAAATATCAGTGCATTGAATATTGCAGCCATATCTGATCTGATGCTCCTGCTATAGATCTCTAGATTCTTGACAAAATCCAAAGGGTCTGTAATCTAATCGATCCTGACTTGGCATCTCGACTCCAGTCACTTTCCCGCCGTCGTAATGTGTCTTCCTTTTGTCTTTTCTACAAATATTTTCATGACAATTGTTCTAAGTTTTCCTCCTTGGTGCATGAATTTATGCGTAGTTCTAGATTGGCAACTAGGTCTAATCGTTTTAATGTCGAACTAGATGTCACCTGTAGAACTTTTTTTTTCTTCTTTCCCTACAATCTTCAAAAAATTGAATGCAACGCCAATCGCCATCTTCTGTCTTTTTTTAATTCTGGTCTTTTTTGTTCTATCTCCTCGCTAAAGTTTTATTCTCTTTCACTCTAAGTAACCCCTTGCGTATTTGTGGCATTATCGCCTTGCTTGAGGTGAAATGAATGAAAAAAATTCCGACCATGAGAGCAGGATTCGGATCTCAACATGGTCGATTTATCAGAGAGCTGGTTCTTGATAATGTTGTCAGAAGAAGACCGTTGAGAAGTTTTTTAAAAACCATATCAAAGGTTGACGCAAGCCTTGTAAGTGAAATTGGGTAGGCGAAACTGTTCAGAAGCTATCAATATGATAGTGGCAGCACAAAATTACAAGTAATCGTGACCGAGAGTTTGAGTGTGTCGACCTTGTTCAAACTTGTGATCACCCAGAAACTGTAACTAAAGCCTGTTCTGTATACTCGCAGTATGAACCACGAGTTGACACTGTGGGTGTTGAAAAAATAAAATAAAATAAAATAAATATGACTGAGCAGGGCTTTGGTGTATGAAAACATTACAAAATAGGTTGATATATGTTTTAGTTGTCGTTACAGTGAGTGTGTGATTTTGAAGGAAGGTGAGTCTTGGTAAGGCCTGCAGTTTGACAGACTATTCAGGTTGGTTGACCGAAGTCACAGTG